TGGGTGTGGGTGTGGGTGTGGGTGTGGGTGTGGGTGTGGGTGTGGGTATGGGTGTGGGTATGCGTGAGAGTGTCTAGATGAATGTCAAAGTAGATGTGAGTGTGGATGTTTCTGTAGATCATGCTGAGAAAGAGATAATCGAAACTCATACACACGCCTACTCTGACACCATCTGCTGCATGTTATAATGTAGTCAGTGCAGCAGCATATGGGTAATCTGAAGTAAATAATCATTACTAGCTTGTCTAGATTCGAATACAGTACCGTGATAATACACATTTAGCAAAAAGAATCATTCAACCATAGCGATTATTATGACACAATTATGTTATTTATCAACTGAATGAATCCGACAATCGACAGCAGAACTCAAATTTTCAAGTTTTATAATGTACAAATATCATTAATAGCGATGTCCACTGTTGTTTGTAGAACCGGTATTAATTGATGATTCAACATTTATCCCGTTTTATTGTTTTCAATTCTCTGATAAAGTCTCTTCTCTTAAGAATGAAGCATATGGTTATACGAAGGTCGTCATCACTGTGAATGTTTTGAAATATTGCTTGATATATTCTTCGCGCATCTGATGCTATTATAGTCTCTATTCTACCAGAAGTTCGTCTCATTTTCATCACAATTTCAACATATCGAACATTGTGATGCATGAAGAATATGATGAAACTTGATCAGAAGCAGAGGGTGTGGTTGCTTGCTTGTGAATATAAAGACACTAAGTAGTCATCTACAGTGATGTCTGCATACACTCATACCCACTCTTATGATATAATAGCAAAATCTATGGTTATTCTTATCAACCCCTAAAAACAAATGAAATTGAGAGATCGGTCATCGGCCGAAATGTATTATTTATTTTTCTATTGGTCAGATAAAAACACTCAAGCCTACTCCTGAATGTTAATAGTAACTACAAATTTACGTCTACTACACTCTTTACTTTTTTTTCGAAAGATATTTTACTTTTATGTTGATCTTATAAGCTCTGTCGCTACTATATTTAATTCACAGCAGACTGCCAGGAGACAAGTGATTTCTCTAATGAATTTTCTTTTGCATGACTAATGAAGTAAAAAAGCAACAACAAAATAAAGGGGAACTTAATGATCAGCTAACTGTTCTTCTAAAACAATTCTCTAATTTTTGCCTATTTAAAAAAATTAGCGTCTTCTGTATCACAAAATAAATTAAATGGCAACAAGCTGGACTTGTATGCAAAACTTCCTTTGATTGTCACTAACTAATAAATCATACTAGTGAAGCAAGAATCATTTGGATAAAGTAAGAGTAACAGTTGTGTAATTATTCCGAATCAATTGTTTCTGCCGTCTTAATTGGCAACACGATAAATTTTCTCTTCTCGAAATGAGATTATGAAAACTGTTCGTTTTTATAAGGAAGTTGCATTATCATTGTCGAAAACTAGTTTCATCTTTCCATCAACTATAGGTCGTTGAATTCAGTGAAAAAAACACATCAATACTTTTTATGTAATTCAAAAATCTTCAAACATGACATAATATTTTTTTGAAAATCAAACTACTTTATTCAATTCTTTTCCGTTCCGGTCAATAACTTAAAAGAGGAAATTTCAATAAATTCATTTAGACAATGACTTTTGTGAGAAATATTCGACAACGTTTTTTTGCAAATTATTCGTTTCAATTAAGTTCATATAGATCTACTCAGAAATGATAATAAAGACTATGTCAAGTCTTACCAAATACTTCTTGTAAAAGGATGTTTATTGATATTTCTCGCTCATTATGTATCATCAACTGTTGTTTCTGCTGTAAAACATGTATTAAAAAAAATCGCACCTAACTTATCTTTACTCTTTCCTTTTAATTATCTTGAAATGTGCAGAAACGCATCAATACTATGCTAGTGTATCGTATTAAAAAGAACAACAATGCCTCATAGTTACTTTATCCTACATGACTGAACGCATGATTCCTATAAGGATGATACATGATGTTTCGGTCATCTACACTTTAACACAAATATCATTTATGATTCCTTTCAATAGCTGCATCAAAAACTATCGACACCAACTGAACACTCGAATGACTTGCTATCAAAGAGTAACAGCGATCTGTGGATTCTACGATGCAACTTCTTTTTAAAAGATCGCCTATCACTATCTTCTTGGATAAGATATTATAATAGAAGGTACTTCTTCAACACAGAAATTTGTTTATAATAATCGATTTTACGATCAAATTGATCGTGAGTAAGATAACAATTCTCATGTTCGTATAGATTTTTCTTAACGATATATCACTCATATCTACATCTTCAAATGAATTGAAAATAATATTTATAATATGATTGACAATATTGAGAAAAAATAACATTTCGTTTTCCACAACATTCTATTGGACAAACACATGTAATAACTGTACGTTTAGATAAAGTAATTCGTTACTTATCACAATTCTTTTCTTTCTTTCTTTCATAATATTGAATGAGTATTCTGAAGGCAATTTAATTTTAAAAAGCCATTTTTCTTCTCCTCATTTGATGATGACGGTTTTAATTCCATAAATGGTTAAAGGAAACTAATGTAATATTTTCCTTGTTGCTATTCTACTCGTTTTGTGTATGTATACTAGTCATGACTGTAGTTATGTTTTTCTCAGACATCTGACTAACAATCTACAGCACTTTCTTTTTGCTGTGATTAAATATTAAACAAGAGAGTTCGAGAAAATGAAAGAAAAGACAAACAGTAATATTAGTAACTAAAATATTCCTAACAAAACATAGTTAAAAACATCAAGATCATAAAAGATGTTTTGGATATTGTTTGTTTTATTGGTATTTTCTGCTGGTGATTGTGTTCTTATTGGTACAATAGATAATAATATATTGATTGGTGATATATCTAAATCATTATGGAATATAACACAAAGTCGGTGTATATGTGAAATGATAAATTCAAATGGAATGTTATCGACATTAAATTACTTTTCAAGAAATCAAACTTGTCAATTATTTTATACAAATTATACATCGATTTTAATTGAATTTAGCCTGAATTCTTCATTGATATTTATGAATCAATCAGCAATATTCATAGCACAGAGTAGGTATATTAATATAAATACTACAAACATATCATAGTTTTGCTATTCAACGAGCTAAACATATCTGGAAAAATTTCGTAAGATTTTTGTTTCCGGTGAAAATCCCATCCTTTCTAGTATAGCACGTTAGAGGTTAGCCAAAAATGTTAATATTATATAGATTCGCACATTCAAATGCATCATGTCAACCTCATTTTCAGATTCTAGTACAGCTATAGCTATAAACAAGTATCATAGAAGCCGTAAGGCTTGTAAACTCATTGGAACTTCTGTAAGATTCATCACGATGCATCCATAATGAGCTACACTATCGGTAGAACATTGCATGCAAAGTTTTAGACGAAGCTTTACCCAATTATTCTATCTTCTTTTTAATCTCATTTTTGCAATATAGATCAGATGGCGTCAAGAACAACACCATCATCGTCAACATCAACATCAACATCAACATCAACATCAACAACAACGCCAGGTTAGTAATATGCTAGAGGATTACTAATAGCCTAAACGATGAGTATCACAAGTAACCAAATCTAAAAGTTTTGGTTTTAGCTGTCCGATGTTTTTCATCTAAATATGGAACATCGGCTGGAGACAAAGTAAATGCTAGTTTCAAGCGGATGAATCTACATCTATTAAAAATATGAAAAATAGAGATCACCATAGAAGACTGGCAGCTCGCAAGTTCTTGATGAGAAAAATGATTCTTTTACACAGGGAACTCTACTATTTTAATAAAATGTTACTAGGGTGTGAGTGTGGCTGAATGTGATACAAGACGAGTCACCCACACTCACACCCACCCATAACGTGGTTTACACATTACAGAGCATTTTTCTCCTTATTTAGTATCTACATCGAATTTGTTGATAAACGGTGATGCAGAAACTGAATCATGTGAAGCTGCTAGCGGTGCCACGCCTCCAACAGGTTGGAGCTATAATGGAACAGCTACACAAGTATATTATAACAATACTTATGCGGATCAAGATTTCACAGATCCAGGACCAAGGTAAAATAAAGATAGATCAATTATTCTAAATAAAATCTTTTATTTCTGCAGCAATCGTGGGAATTGTTATTTTTATGGTCAGAACACTGGAAATAGTGCTATGTGGCAATATGTCAACATGACTAGTACGATCAATGCCGTTCTTATCGATAGTCATACAGTTTATTATAATTTCTCGGCATGGCTTGGTGGCTGGCTAGGGGATCCTGATTATGCTCAAGTATCATTAACATTCTTCAATCAAACCAATCAGGCAGTGGGCAGCACCGTTACTCTGGGACCAGTAACACATAAAGATCGAGCAGACATAACTTCACTGCTCTATCGAGAAGCTGATGGACTTGTACCTGTTGGTGCTCGTTCTTTTTTAGTGTCCGTTCGCATCACCCGTATCGCCGGACTCATGGCGGATGATGATGTAGATAATATAGCATTTTACTTACATCAATGAATGTTCACCATTACTAGACTATGAAAACTCATTCATTCTATATAATATGCTCATCTGTTTTTAAACCAAACAGTGATGCTTTTTACAAATTGTAACAAAAGCGTTGTTTAGATTAAAGGTATCCGTGTGGGTGAAGTTATGTGAGTTTCATAATATAAAATAAAGAATTAAAAATTGAGAAATCATGTAACCTGTCGAGGAATTATAAATGAAAGTAAATAATGTAACCACATGGAAATGGCTAAACAACCATGAAATCAGAGCAGAAACCGAATCTACATCTTTCAATAAGTAGTGGATGTGGGTGTGGATTAAAGAAAACGAACGAACGAGAAATCAATACGTTTTTATGAGATAAACAAAAAAGAAGAACCAAAAATTATTCAATAAAACGATATGAACGTAAGATGAATAAATAAGGAAATAATGGATGGAAATAATTCCTTTATTGTTTTAATGGATTTAAATGAATTCAGATGAATAAGAAGCGCACGAGAAAATTAAGAGAGAACTTCCGAGATGATCGACATATGCACAGATTGCTGTCTAATATCGCCTATTTTCTTTGAAATTAATATATTAAGAGAAAAAAAGTAGTATCTCTTCAAAATTGATGATATGTTTTTCATTATAGAAGTAAAGAGTACGATATATTAAAATATGATAGAAAAATGATTCAAGAATTTGACAAAGAAACTAGATAAGTTCTGTATCAAGTGATGATAATATTGCGTCAGTCGCTGCTTTTATATTCGAAATAAATCGATGAAATATGAGGGTTTCACAAAAATAACTACATACCATTTTTCGTCTTTGTTTCGATTTTATTTAGTAATTATGAACTCTATGTCATGTTGATTTTCATTTCTTTCTAATATTGTTAAAAATTTAAATAGCAACAGAATAGAAAGGGGAAACTATCATATCTTCTACATTATTATTTTTGAATATGATCATACTTCTCTTTCGATAGTTCCTAATAAGTATATATAAATTTTATCTTTCACTATGTTGTCACGATTAATCATGGAACAAGAGTTTTATTTCAGTCAGTAACAACAGGCACTTGGAAGTGACCTATTCAGGTTGGTGACTGTTGCAAAAACGAAAACAAAAAAAATGTCGCGATAACATATAGTAGAGCAGCAAGAGAAGAAATATGGAGATTTTTAAATTACAGGTGTTTATATATGATATACAAATGTAAGAAAGTAAGGAGAAGAAAAAAGTTGTTTATGATGTTTCCAATCAAGACACAGAGAGAGAGGGAGAGAGTGAGGAAAAAGCTGTACACACACATATAGATTTCATGTCCGATAAGAGCCTTTTTTTGTGCTCGTTTATAATGAACGAAAGAAAATATGTTTTTTCAAAAAAGAAATGGCAGTAGAAAAAAACCAACACGAAGGTAAAGAACCTGTAATAAAGAAATGCTGCTAATACATATATGTTTTTAGAAACAATAATAAAAAGAAACAAAACAAAATTGACAATCTTTTTTACATAGATATTTTAATTTTATCGTAGATATTTGTTCAATTCAATGAAGGCACAATCAGGTACATTGTTTTTATGCATTAATTTGTCACATTCATTTAAGTAACCAACAAGTACTTCGAGCGCCGGGTGTCTAGGCATATCATGTGCTTCTATAAAAATATAAAAATTAAATATGAGAAAAGAAATTAATAAAGAAAAAAATATATTCACCAAGTATGGCACTATTAAGTACACTGGAAACAGATTCACGTTGAGATGGTTCTAATAGATGAGCAAGTGGTGATAATTTTGGATCTGGATATGCTAATAAACTAAATGCATCTTGTAGAGTTTTATCATTTTGTGTATTTTCTCCGTATTCAACACTTAGTTGTTGTTTAAGTGCATGCAATTCTCTACCAAATTGAAGAATTCTAATAAGTAGTTGATCATCTTCTTTTTGTCCATCTGATAAAGTTGCTTCCATATCCATTGTATGAGTTAAATTACCATTACCATCACAATCCATTCCATCAAGAACTTCTGTTGTTTTTATTGAACATCCATTACTGTTTATATTATTATTATTATTATCATCATCTAATAGTGAATGACCATTAGAAATTTGATTTGCGGATACTGTTCCATGATTGCTAAAACCATTTGTTGTACTATTACCAGAAAGATCATCATCCATATCCATAAGATTAGTAACAATATTATTTGATGGCAATAAATTTACTGTTGAATTAATTTCTAATCAATTTCAAATATAAAATTATTAGAAATATAATTAAATTATTTTACCTTGAGATACATCATTATTATTTGTATTTGATTGATGTGAACAAGAATTGATTGTTCCATTACTATGTTGTTGTTGTTGTTGCAACCCTGAAGTCGTTCTGGATGTATGTGGACTATTAGAACGTGAACGTGAAGATGTATTTGATTTTGTCATAGGTGATGATGAACGTTTACTACAGAGTGAACGATTTAATGCTAATGATTTTGTTGTTTGTGAGGATATGGACGGTGTAGAAATTTCGCTTTCAGTTCCATTTATCATTTCAATAAATTGACGAACTTTAAGTACAAATAAAAGGTTTTTATTATTGAGCAATGTAGGAAATAGTTCTTTTGTTTTTTCAATTGCATCTGTTGTACGACCTTCAAGAATTAAATGTTGAATAACTAAAAAGAAAATATTTTTTTTTATTAAATTTAATATTTCAAACGAAAATTCTTTTCTTTAATTTACGTTGTCTATTACGCATTGAATTAAGTTCATCAGCATAAACACTTTCAGCATTTTTATTAAATTGTTCAGCTGTAGCACAATAACCATAATGAACAAGATAAGTTGAAACAATACGACGTAATTGTGTTTGATGTAATAATTCATTTTCTTTCAATGTACATTCTACTATTCCTCGACGAGTTTTTTCTCGAAATTCCTATTTAATTTTAAATTAAAATTTTTTTGTTTACTTTTTAATTAATTAGTTTTATCTTACATCCATATATTTGTCTATATCAAATTTAAATGGACTAAGACCAAAATTAGCTTCAATAGCTTCGAGTGGAGTTTGTAAACCTACGGTTGGATAGATTTCTGACTGAAATATAATAAATAAATATATATGTACATACAAAATAAATGTCTGAAAAGAAGTAATTACCGGTATATCTTTGAAAGATGTACCTAAAAAAAAATAAAAAGATATGAATGAATTTTTTTATAAAACAATAGTAAAATATACCAATATTATAACCATTACAAGTATAAAAACAGAAATTTTCAAGAAAATTAATACAACAACCAACATAATCGCCAGTAGTAAATGTTGGCCCATAAGCAATACCGGAACCTGATGAACAAAATGAATGACCATCATCACCATGATAACCATATGAGCCTTTATCCCATCCTGGTAAACGATTAAGATTTACATCACTCGTTGATAGTCCAATACCCATATATCTAAGAATTAGAAATAGTGAAATTCAATAAAATTTGTAGAAATAGTAATATTAACTTACCCATCACGGCCTTTGCTTAAAATTCTCACTTCATAATAATAAATTCCAGTAAGTGATGGAATGGGATGATCAGAACGAACACTAGCAGCATCTTTATGTGATTTGCCAGGTCCTAGAATACAATTTTCTTTTCATATAAAACGATTTTATTATATACAAAATACGAACCTTTATATGTAACAACAAGATTATTTTGTTGAAGAACTAAAGTCGGTGCTTTTTCTTTTGAATTCCATTTTGATGGTAATGGTGTATCGTCACTAATATGTGGATAGAGTTGAGCAAGACGTTCTAAACCAGTTTTTGTCGTTGATGTTGTAATTCTTGTTGTTATATCATTTGATTTATCTGTCATTTTTTGATTATATCTTGATAATCGTCGTCGTTGATGTTGAATATATAGTTTAATTAATGTAAAAATAAAATAAACTATATTAATTGCAATAATTAAACAACATGTAATATATGCGTAATTTGTCGAACAACTTTGATCCATTCCATATTTGTAGATAATAAGTTAAATCAATAGTTTAATTGTAAAATAAAGAATATGTATGATAAAAACAACATATACAAATAACAACAACGTAAATCAGCTGACGCGCTCTATGTCGCAGTTATGCATTCATGTAACAAGATGGCGTACGAATCGCTATTATTATATATATATTTTTTTTTTTGTACTGTCTTCTTTTCTCACGACAGAAAAAAAGAGAATGTTTATCAATCGATAATATTTAATACTGTTATATTTATAAAAATATATATAAACTATTTGAAATTATTTTGCAAATATTTAATCAAGTTTTTCTAATATACTTAGTAGTAGAATATGATTATATTGAACCTACAAGAAGGTTTCATTGTAATCAGTAAGTGGCGCTTTTAGGGTGAAGTTATAATCATTCTATTGTCAAACCATATATATATAGCAAAATTTGTTAGTATTTCTGAGACATAAAGTTTATTATAGCAAGCTGATATATCAGTCATGTAGTAAAATTAATTTACAATTATTATATTTCAATAAACATTTTTCTTTTGTATACCTAACAACGGCAATTCACATAAAATAAAATTTTCAAGTCATTTTCTTAAAACAAAACAGGAAAAAATATTAATTAAATAAATAACAACTATTAAAATTTAATTTCTTATTTTCATTCATGCCTACCACTTTTTCTTTTTCCTTCCTTGAGCTTTTATTCAACACAATTTGTAAAATACTTCAATAACATAATTTACAATTGTCATTTTTTTTTCTCTTTCAATCTTTATATTACTCTTTAAACGGTTTCTAAGATACATCAAAGTTGCATTCCATATAAGAACAAACATATTACCAAGAATAAAAACAAATATCATCTAGTAACGTTCATTCGTATTCTTCTTCGTTACTAGTAACATATATAATAATAAAAACGTCTGAACGGTAAGCAATCGTTAATTTATAGAAATGTCGGAAATTGAAGTGAATAATTTTAATAATAATGATGATGATGATCAAACACGTCAAACTGAATCGGAACAAAGATATACACCATATAGTAGTATAAAACGAAGTCAGTCTGATGATCATTTAACTCCAGTCATAGTCGATGATGAATATGAACCACAACCAGCCTCACCACGTCGAGTAAAACCTAGTTCAAAACCTGCAAAATTAAGTTATATACCAAAACTTAAAACTTCAAAAAATATTTCAACATCAATGATTATTACAAGAAACAAATCACCAGTACAGAAATGGAATGGAACACCAGCATCATCATCAAAGACACGTTAGTATATAAACGTCACCACATTATTTTGAAGAGACTCTTCTAAATAGAATGGTTGATAGATTGATAAATTGTCTATTATTCATTGTTTTTTTTGTCTATAGCTCGACCGATGGCAGTTATACCACAAATTAGTCGTCGTCCAGTACAAGGTGTTTTAATTCGATTGTTTCGTAATGGTGATGCACATCATATTGGTGTTAAAGTTGGAATAAATGAATTAGAATTTAAGTCCTGGGAAGCATTTCTTAATTATTTAAATCGTCAACAAAAACTTACTTTACCATCTGGTGGTATTCAACATGTCTATGCTCTAAATGGTCATGAAATTCGTTCAATAAATAAATTTCAAAATCGTCAATCATATGTTGTTGCAACTGGTATATTTCTTAAAACAAAATATCTACATGTAAATGATGCATTTAATGATGATTCTGAGTCAAATGTTAATCAACCACCAGCTCCTAATGGAAATACACGAGCATTATCAATGAAACGATGGCGTTTACCAGCAGCAAATAATGAACAAATATTTATATTACCATATTCTCGTTTAAATCTTTATGAAAGTATTCTTTTAAATCGAAATACTACAACAACATATGATCAATGGTTAAGTGAAGAAGTAACAGATTTACTTTCACATTATATTGGTAATGATATTATTACACATTTATATGCAATAACAAAAACTGTTTTTGCTGAAGTAAAAATAATGATAAATTCATAAAAAATTTATTTTTATAATTATTTTCTTTAGGTAACAAGTTTTTCATATTTATTTAATACACTTAAAACAACGGATAAATTTATTGCATGTACAGATGAAGAATTTCAACATGCTAAACGTTATTTAGCAACAATGCAACCTGATGAATTTTTTGCTAATAACCTATGGCCACGACGACAAGTGACTACAATTCAAAGATATGTTCCTAAACCAGGTATTGATTGTTTTTTTCTAAAACAATATACATATTTTCATCTCTTGATAAATTATAGTTAACATCGATGCAAATCTATCGATTAGTTGGGTGTAAGTTATAAAAGATAAATTTCCTTCTTTCTCTAATTTCGAATATCTGCTAGTCATGGTTATGATGGTACTAAAGAACAAACAAAAAATATTTATGCTTTAGCTGAAAATGAAATACTCTATGTAATTGGTTCAATATGTGTTATATATGATCCAGAAGTAAAACAACAACGGTTTTATACTAAACATAATAATCCAATAACTTGGTAAGTGACATTACATTTATCAATAACGAATAATATATTAATTGTTTATAATTTAGTGTTAGCACTCATAAATATCATACAATAATTGCTTCAGCTGATTCAGCTTCATCAAAAGAACGTTCATATGCTACAATACATATTTGGGATTATGAGAAACTTGAAACTTTAGCTGAAATACGAAAAGATCAATTTGGTTCGGATATATCTCTCTTATCATTTTCACCTAAACCAGATGATAATTTAATTCTTATTGTTTCGCGTGATAAACCAAAAGTTCTTTTATTTTTTGATTGGAAACGTAATGAAATAATCTATAGTATCACCGTAAGTAACATTATTTTACCGAAATATCTTCATAAATTTTTGTTTTTTTAGAGTAAATCTGATAAAATACTTTCGGCATTATTTGTATTTGATACAATTGAATGGATTGTATGTATAACACAACAACATTTAATTTTTTATCAAATTAATTGGAAATCAAAACCATTACGTATAGCTACACAAAGAGAATCAGAAGTTCAAGTACGAGCAATTTGAAATAACAATATGAATTCTATTTTTGTTTATGAAATTTCTAGAATATTTATACAGGTGCAGTTGCATGCGATCATTCCGGTGAATTATTAGTTATCGGTGATAAAGTTGGAAGTATACATATTTGGACTTTAGTTGATAATGAACCAAAATTAGAAGAAGTACAAGAAAGTATTTTAGAGGTAATCATTATATTATTAGAAAGTTAAAATCGATTTCAATCTTATTTATAGAATGATGTACATCTTGTCGTATGTATCAATCAAGAAACCTTTCTTCTGGCAAATGGACAAAATCAAATAAAACTTTGGAATGTTAATTTAAATACATTTGATGAAATACAAGTATAAATTATGAATAAAAAAAAGTATTTAGTTATTATTTATTGTTTTCTTCTCATTAGTTAAATGATACTTATGGTTCGATACAATCAATTTGTCATATTGAAAAAGGATTAGCGATTGGAACTAAATTAAATTATATTCTATTGAAAGAAATTGATAATGAACAAATTGATGTTATTATGCGAGTATGTTTGATATTAAATCAAAGATTTTTATCCTATGATTTTATTTAGGGACATAGAACTCCATCAATGTGTATATGTTGTAATAAGAATACGGATGATTTCTTTTCTATAAGTTCGGATCGACATTTATTTAAATGGAATAATAAAACGAGATCAGTTGAATGGGCCGTTAAATCTCCGGTAAAGTCTTGATTTTTTTCTAATAAATTTCGAAATTTTAATTTACTATTTTTAGCAATTAATTTCATGTGCTGCTTTACATCCAGAACGAAATATAATTGTTCTTGGAACGGAAACAAGCAAATTACTTATATATGATACATTATCTTCATTTTATATAACAACAATATCATTAAAGACTAATACAGGTGTAAAATCCGTTCGATTTTCACCAGGTAAGAAAATCTTCGAAGATTTTGATTAATACACAGTTTGATGAAATTTAGATGGTGCAGATTTAGCAATTGGATTACAAAATGGAGCAGTTTTCATTTTCAGTGTATTAGGTAATGGAGAATTTCATCTTCGAACAGATGGAACACTGCAGAATAATAATGTACCTGTCACTGATATTATATGGTCAATTGATTCTAGTTATCTTCTTGCTGTTTATAGTGATAATAATTATAATATTTGTAAGTCAAATAAAAATTTAAATTAATAATTCATTTTATATTAATAGGGTTAATGCCATCGTTTGATATTGTCAAAGAAAAAAATATTCAAAATATTCCATGGCAACAAGCAACACATCCAATGGCTTGCAATACAATTGGTAAAATAAAACTATAGATTTTCCTGTAACTATTACTATCGATTTTCTAGACAAATCAATTATGGAAATGCAAACATCTGCCATCGTTTTATCACCTAATCTTGTTCTATGCTGCAGTAAAGATGGTCAGATTCGTTTATTTGGCAATTTTTATGAAGTAAATATTCATATATATAAAATTAATTAACGATTCTTATTGAAATATTTATTTTTTAGCGAAGTTCTCAAATTTTACAAACTGGTCTTGGTTCTGTCCAAAATATGATACCATCTACAAATAACAATGCATATCTATTATCAATAAATAATAGTCCTGCTATTGTTGAGGTCATAATAAACGTTGAATCACAATAAGAAATTTTCTAAAAATTATTTTTGCTTATTGTTATTAAAAAGCTTTTATTAATTTTAAAAAAAAATATAAAAATCGATGGAAGCTGCACCAATAGATTGTGTAAAAAGAATTCACTCAAGTACGGTTGTATATATATCACATGAAATGTGTGATTAAAAAAGAAAAAGAAGAATATATTTTTAATTAGTCAATTGAGCTTGTTTCAAATAAATGTTTTTGAGCGTAATAATTCACCATAATTAGAATATGAATGAGAACATACAGGTAATTCACGTGTTGTATCACCAAAAGTTTGTCCAACGCGATATTTACGTTCTTAAAATATACAATCATAAGACTTTATTTTTGTTTTATGTATAAGAAACTTACGAGGTAGATAACCAGTATATTTCGGAACCATACCAATATTAGAATAGATTCGATAAGATGGACCACCTGTTGCTGGACGTGATTTCATCAAACTAAAAGATAAATTATAATTTTCGTTTTTTAATTTTGAAAAGAATAATAGTTCTAAGAGAAAAGAGGATTAACTATAATTAAAGCAGATTATTACTAAACTTAAATAACTTGTCTAGAATGAGATAAATTTACATTTTTATATATGTTGATTAATGAAGTTAGTAGAAGATTTACTTTTCTGGATTAGTATTAATCGATGGTGGTGGTTGATTATCGATGGATGTAGGAAGATTTGTCATAGAATGTGTTGTTTCAAATGCAAAACGATTTAAAGCTTTATTTGTTGCTTCATGATAACGTAAACCAAGACCGGCTCCAATTGGAATAATACGAGGAATGTAACCTGTATAACCGGGTATAGGTGGTTCAACAAATGGACGACGATCATCTATATTTATATTCTTAAATTATTCAGAAGTTTTCTTTTGTATATATACCTTTTTGAGCATTCTGAAGTGGATGATAAGCTCGATGATAATCAAGAAAATGTTTAACAGTCGTATCACTATTTGTACTTTGTGTTTTTGGATAACCAGCAATGGCACTCTTTAATTCTCGTACATTTTGTCGGCCTTGTTCATATGCATTTTTCGTTTGTGATAAACACGCATCAGTTTCAACACGATATCGATTACTATGTTGATATTTTCGTTGAGGAACATAGCCTGATCATATATATATATAACAATTATCATCATACAGAGAAATATGATGATTTTCATTACCTGCATAACCTGGAATTAATCCATCTGGAAATTCTCGTGTTTCATATGGATTAGAAAGATCATATTGAACTTCTTCCGGTTGTGTTGGTTTTAATGGGCTTGTAGGTTCTTGTGATAAGATATGTGTTTGTTCACCGTATGTATGACCTTGACGAAACCGTATTTGATGGATATGTCCAGTATATCTACGAAGTAGATTCTCAAGTTTTAATATTTAAAATCTATATACATATATATGTATTCTACATTTATTCGAACAAAACTTCTTTTCTTTGATTCTTTTAAGAATCATTACAAGTTTCAAACATACGATCTCCTATGGTTTCATATAAAAATCAACAAATACAAAACTATTAAAAGAATCCCATGATTGTCTTAGAAAAAAATTACTCGCATATTATATTCTTTATATTTTTATCTTATCTTCCCAAATTTAAAAAAAATAAATCATGATTACTTTGGAATTTGTGAGCCGTCTTTAAGATTAGCAAAACGTTTACGAGCTGCAAGTGTTGGTCCACCACCGAATTCAACGGTCGTCATTATTCCTACTCGAAAAGAAAAGAATGAAAAAGCAAGCGTATTCTATTGCATCGATGTCTCATTTACATCTAATACTATAAACAGTTACTTCGCAACGACCTCTACATTCTTTATTATAACACACTAATGCATTGAATTTTTTCCTGATATATAAATTTTACTAAAATATATATTTAGAATTAAATAAATTCTTGAACTTAATATAAATGTATTCGAATACTAAAACGAATAAACTATAAAACCATTGGTTCAATACTAAGGATGCTTTGTTTATGATATTCTTTTTCTTTTGACTTTGTGTGTTTATATCAAATTAAACTTTACATTTTCCATCTTGAACAAATCCGATGAGTACCGACGTCATTGTTTCTTCTTCGTCTCCTACAAAAGGTATTTATTATCTTCGACTTGTTTTTTTTTGTTTCTTAATAAATATTTACATTTCTAAGAACCATCAGAAACGGTATCTAAAATGGATACATCAACTACTGATATTGAAGTAATAAATGCTGAAGAAACACCTGTCAATGGTGCTGAAGATTCATCAGCTGAAACAAAGCCGGGCAAACGAAAACGTTCTACTAAAAAAACCGTAGAAACTGAAGAAACAAATATATCAAATGGACGTCCAAGACGTACATTACCAAAACGTAAATAATTACAATTAAATTATTCAATAATGTAATTAGATAATTTAGGTGAAGAAGTACCAGCAGCAATAGTCAATGGTGCTGGTGAGAAAAAAAATAAAACAAGAGCACAACGAAATTCAGCAGAACAAGCAGCTGTAGATGCAGATGATGAACAAGAACGAGATAAAAACATTCCTATACTTCATGATGTAGCCGATGTTGTTTGGGTTAAAATGGGAGGACATCCATGGTATTTTATTTCTTTTTAATTTAAAAATTTGGTTTTTCAATGGTTGTATAATTTAGGTGGCCAAGTCTTATTATTCGTGATCCAAATGATACGACACGATGTTTTACAAAAGTCAGCGGTAAGTTATAAATAATGAAGAAAAAGAAATGTTTAGTCATGTTTTTTCTTCTTCATCTCAATAGGTAATACACGTGCAAAACGAATGTATTTTGTGGTTTTTTATGGTTCAACTGCTGATTTTGCTTGGGTGCCCGATGCAGCCGTAATTCCATATCAAGGTGTAGAAGCTTTTACTAAATATGCACAAGAAATTGTTGATAAGGTATTTTGAGTAAACATTATTTTTCTCTTGACAAAAAAAAACTAAAACGACAAGATTGATTTGAATCATGCTTTGTTGAATCTTTAGGCACAAACAAAATCTCAAAAAGAACAATTGACAGAACGATTTCAATTAAAAGTTACTATTGGTCGTCGTGAAGATTGGGAATTGGCTGTACGTGAAGCTGATGATTCACTTAAACAAACAAGTGAAACACGTCTAGAAGAAATCGATCCTAAAGTTCAATTTTATACAACAAAACTTGGTATGAAAAAGTTCACATTATCAAAAATAAATTCAATATGTATTCTTTTCTTTTTAGTTGCTCCAAAAGGTCAACCTGGTCGTAAATCAAAAGCTTCAGCAAATAAAGCCGAAGAATCATCTGAACCTTCTAATGCAGCATCACCATCTGCTGATCCTACTGATCGTTCATTACTTGCTGAAAAAACATTTGAATTCAAATCAGACGATGAATCATCTGAAGAGGAAATGCCAGTTCGTAAAACTCCATCAGTTAAAATAAAACTTAAAAAACAAACATCCAACGATGCAGACTCAACAACAACAACGCCACCAGCTAAACGTCGTCATATGCGTAAATCAACTGAGCCAACTGAAAGTACAACTGCTAGTGGAAAAACAAATGGTTCATCTTTTTCACATGAACTACGATCACCAAAAAATACAAATGAAGCACCTGTAGTTAACGGAAATAGCACAGGAAGAAAACGTGGACGACCTCGTCTTAGTAAACCATCAGTTATAATCAATAATGTTGATGATCAAAAGATGGATGTACATTCCGATACACCAGAAGTTACAACACAAAGAAAATCAATTACTAAACCACAGGCATTCATGAAAAAAGTATAGAAAATCTTATGTTATCTTTGTATCAATTACATTATTTTATGTTTAGACACATCCAGTTGCATCAATGAATAATATTCTTGTTGGTCAACATCATCGTTTTGATACTCTTATTGGTTTTCTTTCACCATTTGAAGAACAAGAAGTATATGAGACTATTGAGCAAATACGTCCAACAAAAACATTTGAAGAAGCTGAACAAATAGCTCGACGTCGTTTTGAACATATACTCTGTGTAAATCTTAATAAAACAACTGTCACTGTTCCACAAGAATGTATGTTAATTTTATTTTTAAAAATTTCATTAAAATTCTATTTAATTTCTTATATTAAGGGTTCTATTCATTCCTTTTTGCACATCCGATCTTAATCGTTAAAAATCCACAATGGTTCAATGACAAGAAAAATTCTGATTCATTAACTGACAATGACTTATTAAATAATGTTAATCGTACTCAATCATCAAGTAGTTTACAAGTGCTTAAACATCAACTTGGAGTTTTATCAAAATTATATCGTAATGAATTACAAGTTCGTCAATCTGGTGAACAGATGAATAAAGAAGAAAATCTCAACTCTGTCTGAAATATAATTTGTATAGTTTTTCTTTAATTTCACCTGCGCTTATTGTAGGAAGGAGAAAAAAAATAAATATATATATATATTGAGTTTAACTCAATTTGTTTCTCGCAATAATATGATAAAAGAAAATTGAAGAATAATTTTTTTTTCGTTTGCGTATATGTGAAAAATAATTATTTGTGTACGTGTAGATCCTCATATTTACTATATTCTTGTATTATTGTTGTTCTACTTCATGTTTTCGTTTGCGTTACTTCTTTTCTGAAATAAAATAATTTTTTTCGTAGTCTCGAAAAAATACAAGAATTAATTTATGTATTGATATTTCACGAATAGAGAATTGTATTTCATTTTGTGAGTCCACCGTTTTGCGTTGCAACTATTTTCATCTAATAGACACGCAAATGATTTTTCAAGGATTCAAAAGTGTATGTACATACAAATTGATTGATAGAGCATTGTTATATAATACCTTTTAAATAGAAAGTACACACATTTCTCTGATGAAATTATATATAGTTCAAAAATAGAAAGATGAAATTTTTTATTGACGTAACTACAATATGAATGGATCTTTGATACAAAAAAAATGAACTACAAACGACACTCATTATATGAACGTCTATTAGATTCAATAAGCGAGTATCGGAATATACAAAAAATTTCAGCTGAAAGAAATGCTTTAAAATTCAAACAGAGAGTTAAACTTCGGATGATGTTCACGCTAAAAACTTCTGCTTTGCATTTCTTCAATAGTGTTGACATATGTTGAAATAAACTTATTAGTTTTACATATTTCCGTACTAACTATCGGCACAAAATTCAATTGATATAATACTGTATTATAATAATTAAATGATAGAACTGAACAATATTTTACTGGTTAAACTTTGAAGAAACATGTCAAATAAATAATGCTGAAAAGTTTCTATTGTTTCATAGAAAGTATTGGCAAACTAACATGAGGAATGATTGGGAAATTCTTAAGATAATTATGAGGAAGTTGGTTTTTAATCATCATCATCATACACTTGCTATTGAAGAACTATAGCTAGTATTGTCCACTTAATACTAGTCAGCAAAGAAAGAAAAACAAAGAACAAGTTCTACAAAAAAAATCTTCGTATGCTTTTATTAGAGATACCAATATACCACAGTGATTTAAGACATTTTTCTCTGGTTGAAAAAAAGGTTTTCATCGTACCGATTTCACTATTTAACAAATTGTAACCATTTAGTTTTATTATTCTATAAAAACGATTTTAAGTAATTAATTGATGTGAAACAAATAATAAATATCTGAACGATAATTTTTTATTTTTTAACATAAAAACACAAATTCATTGAGAATCATTTATATTATGATTGAATATGACATATTTTCCACTACAAACAGATAGTCAAGTGTTTCTGTGACATCAATTGCTTTTTGTTATTCAAAAGAATAAGAAGAAAAAAAAGAATTATTTTATTAGCCAAACTTGATTCTATACTTATTTTCTCTCACTCATAAATCTAGATATTTTTCATTTGTTATCTGATGAACAATATATGTTACATATTGATATAATAAAACTTTTTCTTTATTACTCTTTAGAGTGTCTGTACAATGAATAATCAAACAGAATCAAATATTCGTCCTGAACCATATATTTCAACGGGATATTTTATTTCAATAACTAGTGTTGGATGTATATTAATTCTTATTCTAATTATTCTCTTTTTATTTTTTACCAAAAAACAAAATGATTTTGCCTCTGACGATTATGAATTATCAACAGATAGAAGTACAAGTATTAATGGACGAAAATCATCTCAATATCGTCGATCGAAACAATATTCATCGATAGATTCATCTTAGCTGAATATTGACAAACATCATATTCATTCAAATATGGTTTTAGTTTTATCAAAATAATTACATTTCTCTTTTAATAATAGATATATTCAGATGTTAAATTTTAAATTTATTTCATTGTTTAATAAAAATTAAAAGATAAATTTTTCTCATAATCAAAATGGAATTTATAATTAGCCACATAGAATACTAAATTAAAATACTTATGAGATTAATATTCATATCTATGAACGTCAGAGAGATGTACTATAAAACTGATAATGACTCTACCGGCATTCGTCTCTAATCTTTCACTGAATCAATCAAAATTTACGAATATACAGTGATAATTTACATCAGTAATGCCCTATCATATACTATGATATGTAAATTGATCCTGAAAAATATTTTCTAGCATATATGTCAAATATAAAGAGTACCTCCTATTTGTCTAGTTATGATTCTACTGTCTTTGATCATCGTGCTTATAAAAGTTTGAATATTCATGTCCACAAGTTAACTTTCTTAGATGTATTTAAAGGAAGACTTAAAATAAAAACAAAAAAAGTTGTAAAAAAGCGATGGATGGAATGACTATATTTTGTATTGTCATGTCAAAAAGCAAAAGATGTAGCATAAAAAGCTCTACAATTTAAATTAGATTCTTATCAGATAATATTAATTCACGTACAAATCAACGATGTCACTCAGAAGCTGTCGCGTGGTCGGTAGAGAATCAGTCAATATAAAGTACTACTACGTATTTATTAAATGAGCACTAGTCATTTCCTGTTGATGTATAGTGAGCAGTCTAAAATGTGTTTTTCTGTTTATAGACAACAGACGCAATGGAATTTATTTAGATAATTATTACTATTTATCGAACCATGTTTCTTGTTTATCTTAAAAAATTTAACCAAAAAATGTTTATAATACTCTGCATATATATAGCTGACTTATAATGAATATGTTTTTTCTAGTTTATCTTCAATATAAATTGTATTATTTGTTGTTATTCGTTTAGATGAATTATTTCGTTTTAAATTTTGTTGCTGTACTCTTCCAACTGGATTTGTAAAAATGCGAGAATTTTGATAAATATTAGGTGCACTCGCTGGTGAATTTAGTAATGTTGGTTCATCACTGTGTTCATCTTCGTAATCCCAATTTGGTAGAGCATAGATTAATTTAGTTCGATTAAATTGTTTGTAATCAAAACCTTCTAATGTTGCATCACATGATAAAAATTGATGACCCCACAAAAGTTCATTAGGTAAATAAGATGTACGAAAATGACATGAAAAACCAGTATAATCAAAAATACCTTCAATTATTGCAATAATCTCAAAATGTTCTTTTTCTAATGTATCTCTTTGAATTCCATAGAGTGGACTACGATTATTTATAATATGTTCAACAACAAATGGTCGAGGAAAAAATAATTGACCATTACGAAGATGTGTTAATTCCATATCATGAATTTGATGCGGAATAATTTCACCTTCAATTGTTCGTCGTTCACGAATCATCAATAAACGAACACTAGCAAATATTAATTGTGAAACTGATAAATTCCCTATTCGAAATGTTAATGTTAAGTTTTTATCTCTAGGAAGTATAAGTGCATTATCACTGAAGACAACAAATCGAGATTTTTCTAAAATAAAAATATTATTCAATGTGTTTACATATCAATTATTTTTACCTGTTGGTCTTGATAATTTTGTAAAAACAACTTGTGTAACAATAACTTGTAATAAATATCCCAGTGATGATTGAAGTGCTAATAAAAGTATTCCACCCATACATTCTGTTGTAATATATCTTGAACCATAACCAATTGTATGTTGAGTTTCAATTGAAAAAAGTAATGCACTTAAAAAATTATGTACATTTTGTACACACATTTCTTTTTCAACATATGTTGGTGTATAAGTATAATTTGTTCGATTTTCTAAAGCCGCTTCATCTTCTTCTTCTGTTAAAAAGAAATCTCCATGTTCAATTGATACAAGAAAATAAAGGAATGCAAATATAAACCAACTTAAAACAAAACTAAGTAAAAGAACTGTTACTACAAGCCACCATTCCGTTTGCATTATAAATATAATAATATTCGAATGCATATGTTTTAAACGTCCAATAGATGAATAAGTTACATTAATTCGACCTTTTTTATTAACAAAACGATATCCATTTGTTAATTTTTCATCGGTATTAATACGAACTGCTTCATATTCTCCTTTATTTACATTCATTCTTTTTTTTTACGTACTATAGAAATAACAAAAAATATTTATTATCGATACCAAAACCCAAAATACTTGTATGAATAAAATCAAATTATATTTTTTACCTTCCATTTTCATATATACATATATCCATCCATCCGTTACTGTTATTCCCACATGTATCATTCAGTTACCTTTACATCAACATGTGTATCTTTTTCTTTGCCTGACATAAGTTTTAGATATTATCTTAGTATTTTTCTCATTTCTTTTTTGATGTTTTATCGAGAATATACGTTTTTCTTTATGAGATATAGTCATTAATATCTAAGCGTTATCTATAGATTATTAAATGTAAAAATTAATAATCGTTTAAACTGATTCATATATAATTGGTTTTTCGAAAGACATTTGTGATATGATAATGAAAAAACTACCATTCCATGTTTTTGCTATAGGCAAAACAAAATAACAGATACAATTGTTTATTATAATAATAAATATCTTGTAGAAAATAATTACCAAAGTCAAGAGAACAATATTAGTATTGAAATACATAATGTATAATTTATTTTTTAGGGTTAAAATACACTTAGGTAACATTTCTTAGATTTTATTCAAAAGTCGTCGTTTTACGAATAATGAAAAATAGTTTTTACTGATATCGGATTGTAATTTGAACTTTGACGAGCACTATTCGGATAGATTGGCAGTAAATTCTCTACAATGTAGGTATATTGTAATATTGATACAGTTAATAAAGTTTAAGCTTCAATAAATAAAGAGATCTGAGTAGTTTCTACTGTCAATATATATATATCATCAACTAGACGATATACGAGATTGACTGACAATCCAAATTATTTATATGCAGATTATGCCACACTGATGAAACTCGTTGGTTCTCTTCTGTCTAGGTGAGAAGATTTTGAATATAATAATTATATTATTTTATAAAATGTGCTAATTACCTATTCAAATAAGTGAGAAAAAAATATTATATTTACAAAGTGGTTGTTAGTTTAAAACGTCAAGAAATGAACTCCATAACTCACAATATTAGACATTGTGGATTTTTTTTAATGTAAAACATAAATTTATTACATTTTCTCTTTGATTTCATTGTAGATCGAATATGAAGATGATTCTATTACTTATGAACATACTGCCATCTGTGATCCTGTAAAATCTTTGGGTTAAACTTTTCAACCAATAAATAAGAGATAAATAAAAATTCTTCAATAAGAATGGTTCACTCGTTTTTTGTCTTCCTTCAATTAAAGACATTCACTTAAATCCTCCAATAAAAATATGAAATCAATCAAAATGAGGGTAAATAAGAATACATTATCTTTCTAATGGTATTAATACCAATAGTTAATCTATAAAATTGAACGAACAAACAAACAAATAATTTCTCCATTCATGTCACCAATAAATTATACTAGATTCTTCTCACGTTTACGATCCTATGTAATTTCATCAAGAAATTCTAATCAAGAAAATCTTATTAGAAACAAACATGAACGAAATTATGCGTCAGCTGTATGTAGTATGTTTGCTGTAGCAATATTAGCTGTTAGTCTATCGGATTATCGTTGGTTTTGGTTACGTGGTGGTTTATGTAGTTCAAAATTTATTGGTTTAAATATGTTTTTTGCTGTTGGAAAATTATATGTAATACAAGCTCCTGTTCCATGGAATCCTTCGGCTCCTATGAATGATATTTATCAATTTAAACCGAATGATTATATCGGTATATATTTGATTGAATTTCATAAATAACAAATTGATATTTTTCTTTGTAGAATTAATTGGATGTGTTGATACACATTCAATTTTAATACTTCGTCTGATGATAACATTCATTTGTTTAGCAATAGTTTTATCAACTATTGGATTTCTACTTGATGTACTTGGACCGATAAGATATGGATTAAAATTTATTCGACGTCATGCTTTCTTACATATTCTATCAGGTAGAAAAAATCTTCTTAAGAATTATATTTTATTTTGAAATCTTTTAGTTATTCTATGTACAATTGTACTTGGACTTTGTTTTTATGTATCAGAATTAATTTACGACATTCAAGATAAAACTCGAGTAAAATTTGGTAAAAAAATTGAAGTACAATTTGATATCGCATATTATCTTGTGGTTATATCAAATGGACTTTTATTATTTGCAATTGCTTGCGCACTTTTAAGAAAATATCCAACGTATGATGAAGAACATTTTCATAGGTAAATACTTGTCATAATGACAATAAAACATGAAATATAAATTTTTGTTTAGATTAATTGATGATTGGTCAAGACATGAACAACCATTGTTTATTGAACGAACATTACCAGCAACAATATCAACTATTCCAATTAGTAATGAACCACCTCCCGAATATTATTCTGAAGAAGATTTACTTGTTTTATAAATAAATATTCTTTTTTTTGTCTCTAGCAGTGCTTGTATATTGTATTTACTGTTGTAATAATAATATAGAAAACAAAAACACATTTTTATTTTAGATGATGAAAAAATATTTTTAAGTGCCTATGCGTCAGTACTTATCATGGTTCTTTCCGAAAAACAAAAAAATGAACTGTAAGATTTTATTTTTAACTTTTTATTTATCAAAAAATTTATTATTTATAAATATTTAGTAATCAAGCTATTGCTGATTATCTTGTAACAAATGGTTATACTGTATCATGTAAAGAATTTTGTAAAGAAGCGAATATTGTATGTAAAAAATATTTTTTATTTCAAATATTGTATTTATTTTAATTATATAGTCAACAAATGATAGTTCTGATAAAAAAGATCAATTGGAGAAAAAATGGACATCAGTTATACGATTACAGAAAAAAGTGAGTATTTTAAATAGTATTATTACCGAAATCTTTCTAATTTCAAAAAGTAGAGCGATTTGATAACTGGCATTAGTAGAAACCTAATCTCTATTCAGAGTTTTAGATCGAAATATAATACTTTCTGTTATTTAAGAGAAGTATGTCATACGTGATGATGAAAGATATAATTAACATCGTTTTGTTACGCTTACAGATATAACATGCATTTTACTGCATGTAGAACGTTTCCTCTTTATTTCAATAGGAAGTCGAACACTTATTTAGGGTCATCTAGACATTAGGAAATTGCGAATCTAAATGATTTACATTCGAATATTATCTGTTATCATTGATAAAAAGAATGTAATTATCACGGAAGATATAAGTATGTTGATTGATATGTTTTCGAGTCTTTTTATTCTAAACGATTGAATATTGGTTTTTTTAAAAAATGAAATTTGACTTATTTTAAAGGTTATGGATCTCGAGTTAAAACTTCAAGAAGCTCTTCAAGAAGCAACAACCGGTGGCCCTACAAGAGAAAAACGTTCACCTGGTGAATGGGTACCACGACCTCCTGAAAAATTTGAATTAAAAGGTCATCGTGATACGGTTACACATGTTGTCTTTCATCCAACTTTCGATATTATGGCGTCATCCAGCGAAGATGCTACAATCAAAGTATAGAAAAAAGAAAAAAACTTTTCATTCTATTATATTTTTGTTTTTATAGATATGGGATTATGAATCTGGTGAACATGAAAGAACATTGAAAGGTCATACAGCACCGGTGCAAGACATTGCTTTTGATCATACGGGCAGATGGCTAGGTGAATTAATTTATTATTCAAGACAGAAAACAATGAATATTATATTTTATTTTATATAGTATCATGTTCAGCTGATATGAGTGTGAGATTATGGGATTTTCAAACGTATCAATGTATTAAAACAATGCATGGTAAGAGACAAAGATTATAAATTCTTCTCATCTTTAAGTAATTTTCAGGTCATGATCATAATGTATCTTCAGTAACATTTACCCCTAGTGGTGATCATATTATATCATGTAGTCGTGATAAAACAATCAAAATCTGGGAAGTATCTACAACGTAAGTTTATATTTAGTATAAATATATGATAAAATAGATTCATCTGAGAACATTAAGAGCGACTCGCATTCATTTGAGTTCATTTAGGAATTAATCGATAGAGTCTACCATTCACACTTTGATGAATTTAAATAAATCAATTCTGCTGACATGACAAATTTCGATGTTCCATCGTTATAAAAATAAACCGTGAATAATTTTCTTTTCAATAGATTTTGTATTAAAACTCTTGTTGGTCATCGAGAATGGGTACGTATGGTACGTGTCTATCAAGATGGTACATTAATTGCAAGTTCATCAGTTGATCATGTATGTGTAATTTATGTTTGTTTTATACGTAAAATATCAACTAATTGAATAGACTATAAGAATATGGTCATTACCAAGTGGTGAGTGTAAAAATGAATTACGTGGACATGACAATGTCGTTGAATGTATTGCTTGGGCACCTGATTCAGCTGGCCCACATATATCTGAACCTGTTTCCAATGGTGTAACTGAGGTAATTTTTATATTTATAAATTCAATTTTTTTTAAATCAATTTTATCTATTAGACACATAAAAATCTTTCTGGTCCTTATCTTGTATCCGGTGCACGTGATAAAACAATTCGAATGTGGGATGTAACGAATGGATTAACTTTATTTATTTTAGTAATTAATTAAATAAAGTTTTTGTTATTATTTATTTATTTATGTTATGAATTTTAGACTGGTCATGATAATTGGGTTCGTGGTCTTATATTTCATCCAGGTGGAAAATATCTCTTAAGTTGTTCTGATGATAAAACATTACGTGTATGGGATATAAAAAATAAACGAAATACGAAAACTATTGATGCTCATACTCATTTTTGTACTTCACTTGGTAAGAAGATTCAAATTTATTTCTTATACATATATACATATATGATCTTTCTTTTAGATATGCATCGAAATAAACCATATGTGATTACGGGTAGTGTGGATACATCAGTAAAAGTTTGGGAGTGTCGTTAAATGTTTCTTATTTATTTGTATATGCTCTACTATTGCAATAGCTCTTTTTCTTTCTGTTTTTCTATAGTCATGCGTGAGCGAACAAGAAACTCTATTTTTTGACATATGACCGATAAAAAGTGACTATTTCTCCCGTGCTGCTTGTGGTTTTATTTGTGTATGTACGCACTGTTTGTTTAGACTCGTGCTCTTTCTTTTTTTTCTGTGTGTGTGTGTATGTTGATTCGTTAACTTTTGTTCATTTTTTTTGGCTCTATTTCACTACTTTTCGCTCAAATACAGTACAGAAGTTCGAAAAAAATACATACATTACACCAAAAAATGAGATTAAATTGAGAGAAAGAAAATAAAAATAAAAAAAAATGCATTTAGTCTTTATGTAATAACCAAATACACGTTTGACCAATGCCTGTCATTGAAATAACACGAAAGCCAATTTTTTCGAGTTTGTCAAGAACGATTCGAGCACAATCTTCTGTGCGATATTCTGAACTAAAATAAAAAAAACTTTTTATAATGGCAATAGTTATAGACAATACTTACTAATCATTACATTTTTCATGACAAAGTGTTGCTCCTAAATAATTCATAATTTCAGGATCTGCTCGTTCATCTCCGACAATAGTCGGACCGGGTTCAAGACGAATTCGTGTGCTCATAAGTAAATGAGGCATATCTAAAAATATTTAACATATTTATTTTTTTAAAATAAAAAAATAAAAACACAAAAAGAGAATTTTTAAAATAAAGTTTTTTCTTTTCTTATAAGTTCAACAAGTTTTTCAAAATTTGGACGATCTTGTGGATCAAGTTGCCAACATGTTGCCATAATCGTATAAATTTTTACTGGACACCGGTCAGGTTGTTTCAAACGTTCACCTTAAGAATTTATTAGAATATTTCAAAAAAAAATAAAATCATATATTTTTTACCATTTTTAATAGCATTTATAACTGTATGATTAAATTGTATATGTGAATAAGGTAAATCTGCTTTTGAAAAAACTTCCCAAGCAGTTACACCATATGACCAAACATCAGATTTATTCGTATATGGTGCTATGAAAATCAGTATTAAAGAAAAAGAAAGAACATGAAAATAAACAAACCATTTGAGAAGACTTCAACAGCCCACCAACGTACTGGAATTGTTTTAACTTGACAAAAATATTCTTCGTCAGATTGTAAACATCTTGATAAACCAAAATCAGCTACTTTTATTCGACCTTTTCTATCAACTAAACAATTCCGAGCAGCTAAATCTCTAAAAAAATCATAAATGAAATTTATTTATAATTTCTTCAAAAAATATCTAATATACCGATGAATAATATTACATTGTTCTAAATATTCCATTCCTTTGACAATATCATAACACATTTGAATTAATTGTGAAAGACGTAAATCATTATTTTTTAAATATTTATCTAGACTTCCCTCTATGGAGAAAAAAAAATATTTTTAAATAAGAAAAAGAAAATTCTATGATTTTTATTTCATATACGTTCAATAAGTTCCATAATAATCATAAGTGGATCACGTATTGCAGCAATACCAAGAAATTTAACAATATTTTTATGTTTATATTGTTGAAGTAAAAGTGCTTCTTTTATAAAATTTTTACGATCTTCAGCATTTCGATCCGTTGTTGATGGATGAAGAATTTTTACAGCAACATATTCACCACGATATTCAGCACGTACAACTTCACCAAAATGACCCTTAAAACAATATATATTTGTATACAATATGTTCGAAGCTTCATTTTATATATTTACTTTTCCTATGACTTCTAATTTATGAACATCATCGTTATTAACTATATAATCTGGTCTTGTTATAGGACGAATTAATCGTACTCCATCATCTCGTAATGTTAATTTTTGTCTTTTATAAAATGATATTAATTCATTAACTGATGCTTTAGAAACTCCACCTGGTTGTAATGAATACATCTATTTAAATGAAATTGTTTTTGGCTTTGATATTACTACTAATTTTTCTTACGTTTCTATCTTCATTAATATAAAAGTGTGCATGTTTTAATGTATTTGGATTACGTATATCATTCCACATTATTGATAAAACGATTTTTCCTTGTTCATTCTTACGAACTAAATAATCTCCGTTTTCTTTCAACTGACTAATACTTTGAGTACGTGGTAAAACACCATGAAAGTATGCTTGATCTTCAAGACGATCAGTTAACTAAATAAGTAAGTAATAAGAATATTAAAATAATTATATTGAAAATTTCGTTTACATCATCATCATCAGAATCTAAATTCGATTCATTATCATCGGATCTATATCCAACATCTTTTAAAACTGATTTAAATTCATTTCGTAATTGTTCTTCCCATTTTTTCTTCGCCCGTAAATAATTTGTTTGTTGTTCTTGTTCAAAGAATTTCTTCCGTACATCATACGTACTGAAATAAATAAATATAAATGTATTTTACATCAAAGAAAACTAACTCACATTTTATCTCTAGGTAAATTGACTAGTATAGGAATCGATTCATTTATACTATTAGTTAATATTTCAATTCTAAAAATAACATATATATATAAGTTTGTTATAAAAGACACTGATTTTTTTTTGGAACCTTTGTTTTAAATCTTGTTTTGTTGAATTATCAACAACAAATTGATCTGATTTTACTTTTGTAAGAGATGTTGCTTGAAAAAGTGTCATATTATATACCTGAGGACTCGGTGTGATCGGAGGAGTACTATACAAATAAATGAATTAAGACAATAAACAAACAGTAGATAACAAACTGGGAATAAATGGTACATAGTTCGTCGTAAGAATGATATGGATTAATCGAAGATATTAGTTGTCGTGATTGTTTGATTGCTGCTACTGAATCTTCCGAATAATAATTAGCTACAGCATCAAGTACATTTTGCCTATACAATTAACGTTTATTATTTTACAAATAGTTTTTTTCTATACAACTAACCATGATTTATTTAAAATCACTTGAATTGCTTCATGATAATTAATTAAACTTCGAATTTTTCGAACATATTGTTCATCAATAAAATTATATTCACGAATTTTATAGATATATTCATTATGTGTACGATATAGATTACTTCGTTTATCAATAACTATATCTTTCAAGTGTTTTATTCGAGAATCATCACCTTTTTTTGCATCTAAATAGACATGTATATATTAAAGATTAACTAAAAATCAATATTAATCTTTCTTTTCAAGATTTATTCAACGATAAAAAATGAAGTGGTTATTTTATCTCAAGGAGAACCAGAGGAAGTCATTCACCTTATTTAAATGTCCCGAAGACTATTGAGAAATCGCTCATTCAATCATGATGATCAATAAATCATACACTCAATGTCGATATTCATGCTTCAAAACATCGGCTATATAACTGAAGGTTTTAGTCGATTAAAAATAATTAAATAAAGGTACATGGACACCGATTCTTGTTAATATATATCACATAATCTTTACTATGTAATACCTGTCTGTCTATAGATTACAAAAAAAACAGCATTTAAATATAATTATATCCTTTATCAATATTGTCCTATGATTATTTATATCAACAGTGGTAATCGAAATATTTTCATTCTATTCTTTATCTTTTCCTTGGCAACAGATTCGTTTATGATTATTAACGTTTTTTCGAATTTTAAGTTGAAAAAATAACTTACTATTTTGAAGTTTTGTTAATTCATTATTTTTTGTTAAATATGATTTAATATCATCTGAATAACGTTTTTCAACATCGAGTACATCATTTTGAGCCTAGAATAATTATTATAATACAAAAAAGAATGGATGAATGATTCATGCACATAAATAAAAAACATTCTAGTATGCGTCATATACATGCAATAGCTTACCAAGAAATCTAAAGCTTATGTCTATTATTTAAATAAAGGATATTTTCTATGTAGATAATAATTAAACAGTCTTACTTTTCGATGTTCACCATCATATCGTCGTTTTTCTTCATCGAAATATTTTCTTGAATCAATTTTATGTTCAACAAGTTCTTTAAGTAAATCATCGATGATATTTTTTCGAAATTGTTCAGCTTGTGTACTAATTGTTGATGCTAAATAAGACCATCGTAGAAGAACATCTCGAGATACCTTTTTTTTTAGAAGAAATATGTGAAAATAATATTCGAATTTTAATTTTACCGATGCAATTGGATGTGTACCTCCGGGCCATATAATTCTATCTGCATTTGCTGTTAAATCTTGAAGATTTTTTGCATATTGTTCATCGAGTGAAATACGTTTTTCAAGAATTTTTTTCGTTTCTTGAAGAATTTTATATTCATCAGTAACAATTGTACTCAATATTCGACAACCTTCATGACTAAAAAAATATTTTAATAATGCATTGGAACCATCATTTGGTGCACCGGGTACTACTATTCGACGATGATGATTCATTGTCATTTATGATTTTGATGTTTTAACATATATTCTCTTTATTTTTATGGATATAATCGTACTATTTGCTTTTTTTTTCTTTTCTTTTCTTATCGTTAAAATAAGTCAAGTAGACATGACTATCTGTCTTATATCTTATGTAAAAGATGCCAATCCTTTACAAGCTGTTACAGAGGGCATGACTCGCCAACATCGAATGCAATTTCCCGGTGGCGGTTTTTTTTTTTTTATAAATATACAAATATAATGAAACAGTTTAATTGACATCCGGAGCTTTCTGTTTTCTTTTTTTCTTTATACAGGTTAATCAAATGGAAGGAAACGAAGAGTATACAAATGTCCTTGATATATTCGGTTTAATGTTAAAAGAAAAAAAATATATATATATAGACGATGAATGATTCTTTACATCAATAGTATACTTCTATGTATACAAACATACGAATAACTATTTTATATTGAATAGAAAACGAAAGAATAATCGAGAAATATAATAATTTTCTTTTTTTAGAAATTAATCATTCCATTTCCATATAATTATAAAAAAAACTGACATTTTATTTTGACTTGGATGTGTTATAAGAAAAGAAACACTTTGATCAACTGAAATTATAACGTATAATTATGCATGAAAATCATTGAAAATATATATATATCGAATAATCGTCAATACTCTCTGAATCATTGATTTACAATATTATAAAATGTTTTTTT